AGGATCAGGAACTTTGGAGTTTTAATCACATTTTATAAGACAAATTTGCAGCAAACACTTTGCTTCCATAATATCAGCTCTGCCAGATAGCTTCTATTTCACATACTGTATGCATTAACACTTTGACATACAGTGAAGTCCCATACCTAGAATTTACAAAGGTTTTTACAACCCCTTATGTGTGATAATGTGCTAAAAAGAATTTAAGTTCTGCCAGATTCTACTACTATTGTAATAACAGGGAAAACAATTAATTCTTACATTTACAGTCTGTAAACCTGGTATTTAATACTGAGTGGTACAGTTATAAGCCCTTGCAACAGGCATGTGTGTTCTCCTAATTCCTTTTAAGCCACTGCTCTCTATTGTGTCCATCCAGAGGGCAAATCTTTATCACTGCATGAGACTTCACATTCTTAGAACATTAGAGATTTCTCCCAAGCTCTGCTTAATTTATTCCCCTCTATTATCAACAAATACTCAGAACAACAATAAATTAACCAATGCTGGGAGGATTTCTTCTGAAAAGAAGCAGAGTGTTATACAGAGAAAATAAAAGCAACTTCTTAATCTTGCTGGCAGATGGAAACCCTACTGTTCACCACTGTACAAAACAAATCCAGGAGAGACATAATTGCTCCAGCATGTTTTAGGTATAACTTCACTTCAGTAGTAATGTCATGGCTCTTTTATTATGCTGCAACCTTGTTAGAATTAAGGGTCCTATTTGGAGGAGTCCAAACAAGTTTGGGCAAGACATTTCAAAACTGAGTATGACAAGTCTTTTCCTACATTTTACAACTGCTACAGACACCAAATTTACCAGCAATGTTTTTCATAGCAATCAGAAAACACTGTAGCACCAGGAAAGGTTTTATAGCAAAGATTATTTTTTCTAGTGACATTCCAAAAATAGGTGCTAGGCACAGAGATTATTTCAAGCCAAAAACACTGAATATTTGTAGGTATCCTATATGTCCTTACATACAGTTACATTTGCTAAGATATACACAAAACTGAAGGTGAAAAGCTTTTTTCTGCAGAGCTAGTAAAAAGACATAGTTTCCTGCAGCCTGAAGAGTCCTCTCTGGGATCCCTGTGAAGTCTTCTTCTAAGTTAAATGCAAAGATTCATGCTCTAGAGAATCTAAAACACATACCAGTCATTTTTCCGTGTCATATGTCTGATGAAGAAGTTGAAATAATTATTTTACCTTAGAAACCATTAAAAAAAACCCTAAATTTTATAGCAAAACAGAGATATAAATGCAGGTCTCTTTGCACTATACTGGGAAGACTGGACCATTTCACCTGCTGATCCCTGGGACTCAGAAAAACTTCAGCTAGGACCACTAGCTGAATCTAGTGAAATCACCCTTTGATTTAATCACTTTTGCTCACTTGCAAATATTTATCTGAGAAACCTTTGTACATCCTCTGTTTCTAAAGGTTAATGACATTTTGTTAAACCACACACACAAGACTATTTCACTGTAAAATAAAGAAAGAATGAAAACATTTATATTATTTTTCAACCTTAAAACTGAAATGATCAGTTAAAATCAAAAGCGCTTTACATCACTAACCGTTCTGAGAAGAGATTCATACTTTTCTAGCCTAAAACACCTTTTTATACAGGTTTGGACTAGACAGATATACAAAACACTTTTCATTGAAGAAACAGATCCATATCTTCCCAATGTAACTTACTAAGGACTAATAATTAAGTAACAGTGTTAAGTGCACATCCACAAAGAAAACTCTCCTTTTGCTATCACTAGTGGGCCTAGTTCTGCATTCCTTCTGCACCTAGAACTCCCACTAGTTTCCAAGCCTGTGTGTGGGAAGCACAAGGAACCTTTGTATTTCCTAAGATGACTGTAAAAAGTACCTATTCTATATTAGGAACAAATCTGCGTGTCACTTACACAGAAAGTCTGAAGTGTATTTTCTATATAAAGTTTCACAGCCTCGTTTTCAGTAAGGATTCTTAAATCTTTTTGCACTCAGATTAAGTGCTGGATTTTCATATGATTGAAAAAGCTTATAAATAATAAAAAGACTGATTTTTCATTTCTCGCCCATGAAATTTAAATCAGCATCACAATAGTGCATTGATGCTAGGCCCTTACAAAAAATTTATAGTGTTGAAGCCATGCCATTTCGACTAAATGAGTTTATTCATTCCAAACACATTACCAACAGATTTAGTATTAAAGGTGAGGAAGGGGAAAGGAAATCAAAGGATATCTTTTAAAATACTGAATTTTGTTTACTTTAGCCAAGTCGTAAAGCAAAAATATTTTCTAAAAAGAGCTGCTTAAGAGCTGGTGGGCACTGAGCTGACCAAGTATGAGTCACTAGTTTTCCCATTCAGTTGCTTCTCGCTTCTGTAACTTTTTCTGTCTAAAGAAGAAGCAACTCAAGAGCCCAACGCAATCTTCACACCTTCTTTCTTGGTACTATGAAAGACACCTCATACTTCTCTTTTTTTTTGTGTTAAATAAAGAAACTTGAAAAAAATCAGGAATTTTAGGAATCTTTTGAGGTTTCTCTACATGGAATGGATTCTGTTGTCTTAAAAAGAAGTCACTGCAGTATGATTAACACTTTATATGAATATACCATGTAATTTTATTTACATAGGGGTAGTTTATGAAAAGACAATTGAAGAATATAGGATTTAATTTGACAGAGTTTATAAGGGCAGTGGCTCTTATTCTACCCAGCATTTTTATTTGGTTATTTTGTTAACTGCTGTAGTATGTGATTTTATTTTATTCCTCGGTATTTTCCCTCTCCTACTTTCAAATGCAAATCATTATGTCCTCTTTTAACTACTTTAAACAAGATTAGAACACATAAAAGACGATTCAGAAATATCTTACTTGTACTCCGTTAGGGAAATTAGGTCAAATTCTACTCCCTCTTTAGTTAACGGAAAAACTCTTGCTGACTTCAATAACAGATCAAGCCCTAAACACACAGCTCCCTGTAGTTTCTAAGCAAATGGCATACTGTATTTCAGAAAAGCTCAAGAACTAAGTTCTTTTCAGAATGTTTATACAAACACAAGAAGCACGTAGTTTGATGGTTCTGAAACGTCCTTTATACAGAAGACTGGAGGAAAAGATTTTTAACACAGCTTTTTAATTTTTAATAGAGTTACCAAAATCAAATTAGTCTGCCTAATGTTGCAGAATATATTTCAGTAAGTACCAGATAACTTCTGTTGATTTTTCCTAGGCTGCTTGGGTTTAGATTTTCTTTTAATTTTTCATTTGCATCCAACCCATTATAGGATAATCTACATAAATCCTACTTAATGAAGTCAGTTCTACTGTATACAGTCACATGAAAAGTGGCATAAGAAATCTGTCATGCCTTTGCAGACAGTATTGCTTCTTGAAGAAATTTAGTTTCGACATAGTAATGAAGAGCCAAATCCTTCAAGCTCTGCGACGTTAATTTACCCTGGGTGTAACTCCACCGGAGCCCGCGGAAATGCAACGCGGACGAAATCTGAGCCCCTCCAGCAGGGGGCAGAAGCCCCGCTCGAGCTGGCACCGCCAAGGTTGTGCCCAGGTACACAGGGCTTGAATGGAAACTGATCCCCTGGCTGCGCTCCCTCTAGGACGCCTGTTGATTCAGAAAGTGGGAACTCGGATCGAGAAACACCTCGTTAAAATAATAAATGCATAAAAACTAAACCTTTCTTTTGGGAGAGTTAAGCCCCTTCATGATTATCAGACCCACAGAAAAATAAAAACCTTAATTCCAGCCAGATCGGCCCCCAGATGCACCTGCGGGCTCCAGTGGGAGGGTGGGATGAAGGGAGGGAGGAAGAGGCAGCATTTCCACCCCGGTAGGAGGAAAGCGCTCCCGTCGCCGGAGATGATACACGGCAGCTCCGCGAACG